ACTGCCTGCATAGCTACAAGTCTGCACAAAAGGTCCCTGGGCAGGTGCAACTCTCAGCCAATAAGCCAGAAACAGATTAAAGATGGGAGAATGAAATAGAGGTCAAACATTTCAGTTTACAGATGCTGTCTCAAGATAAAATGTAAGGGCTTTTGGAATACAAATGAACAATATACAAAAATGGGTTGACCAGATATCAATAATACTGAGAATTTAGGATGCATATACCACAAGTGAAATGAGAACTTTTTACATGTAGCTGTAGGAAGCTCGGCTTGGGGTCATTCTTCTTGGAACTCACTCTGTTCAGCACCCCTTGTTATTTCTATTATCTGCTATGTCCAGACTTCTGAATAATCCCAGCTGATACTTAATATGATGCCTTGTCACCCTCCAAAGTTCTGCAGGTTCTTCTAAATCAAAGAGAGGCCACATAACATCTAGTATTATTTTAGGGTTAGCATATACCTTATAATAATTAAAATTGGTGATCCATCTTTGGGCTCAATGGTAGCTCTCTCTATAAATATTTTTTATTAAGTAGAATATTAAGTAGAATACTGCTCTCTCAGTAGAATTAATGTTCAGAGTTGTTTGTACAACCAACAATAAAACTGGGGAGACCAACAGCAAAGTCCCAGGGCCTAGTCTTCATATTTTATAACCCAGAAAACAGAGAAGATCAGTAACTTGTCAAAGGTCACACAGTAAATAAATACAAGTGTTGGGATTAATACAGGTATTTTGGCTCCAAGGTTTCTGCACCCCAGCGTTGTAATGCCTTCTCAAGCGGGTACTGATCTATGGAGTGGGCTAAACAGATCCCTTCATTCTGGGCTTCTCTCAGAAATGTATTCCTAGACAGTACTCAAGCAAATTTCTGCCAAGGAAGTCCTAATTGAAGAAGTTTAAAAGCTAGATTTTATTTTTGGTCCAGAGAGTTGAAGAAACTTAAGTTAAGTGATACATACATCTTTTTCTTTTTTTAAAGAAATCAGATCATACATTTAGTTTTTGGTGATTCATTAGAATCTTAAAAAAAAAATGTTCATTTCCTATTTTTTTTTCTAATTTCAGGTTGATGTGAGGGTGCAAACAACCAAATCACAATATTTGAATTTGTTAGGTAGAGTCCCTCTTTTAGATATGTCCTGCACCCAAAAGGTCTGTCATACACCTCTACATTGTGTCTGTTCAGTGGGAGCACCCCAACCGCCCTCCCTTTTCCCATTCCCTCATTTCCCCACAGCCAACTTGAATTGAAATGAGTTTTTCTCCTATGTGGGTGTTAATTAGATTGTCTACTGGCTTCATATGAGAATTGAATACATTGGACATTTGCATTTCCATTCTTGTGATACTTTACCCAGAAGAATGTGTTCACCTCCATCCAGGTTAATACAAAAGATGTGAAGTCTCTACCTTTTTTATGGCTGAGTACTATTCCATGGTATACATGTACCATAGTTAATCTATTCCTCGTTTGATGGGCATTTAGTTTGTCTCCACATCTTGGTGATTCTAAATTGAACTGCGATAAACAGTCTAGTGCACATGCCCTTATGATAAAATGATCTTTTCTTCTGGGTAGATGCCTATTAGAGAGATTGTGGGGTCAAATGGGAGGTCTAATTTGAGTTCCTTGAGGATTCTCCATACTTCTTTCCAAAGAGGCTATGTTAGTTTGCAGTCTCAAACAGTGCAACGGTGTAAAAGTGTTCCCTTCTATCCATATCTAGGTCAGCATCTGCAACTTTGGGATTTTGTGATGTGGGCTAATCTTACTGGGATTAGGTGATATCTCACTGTAGTTTTGATTTGCATTTCTCTGATGTAGACACTGAGCATTTTTTCCTATGTTTGTTAGCCATTCATCTGTCTTCCTCAGAAAAGGTTCTGTTCATGTCCCAGTGATAGATGGGATTGATTGTTTTTTGTTGATTAAATTGTGTTATCTATAGATCCTAGTTATTAATCCTTTGTCAGATTGGCAACATGCAAATATCTTTTCACATTCTCAAGATTGTCTATTTGCTTTCACTGTTGTGTCTTTACCTGTGGAGGAGATTTGCAATTTAATTAAGTCCCATTTGTTTCTTTTTGTTGTTACAATTTCTGTGGAAGTTTTCTTCATAAAATCTTTCTCCAGGCCAACATCATCAAGAGTTTTCCCCACTCTTTCTTCTAGAATTTTTATCATTTCATGTCTGAAATTAAAATCTTTTATCCATCTTGAATCAATTTTTGTATGTGTTGAAACGTGCATGTCCAGTTTCATTCTTTCATGTGTAGTTATCCAGTTCTCCCAGCACCATTTATTAAATAGAGATTCTTTTCCCTGGTGTATGCTTTTGTTTGTTTTCTCAAAGATCAGATGGCTAAAGAAATTGGTTTCGTCTCTTGGTTTTCTATTCTGTTCCAAATGTCAATGTCTCTATTTTTGTGCCAATGCCATGCTGTTTTGATCACTGTGGACTTGTAATATAGCCTAAAGTCTGGTAGGGTGATGCCTCTGGCTTTGTTTTTATTACTGAGAATTGCCTTGGCTATATGGTTTTTTTTCTGATTCCATATGAAACAAAGAACTACTTTTTCCAAATCCTCAAAGTATGATGTTGGTATTTTAATGAGCTGTGCATTGAATCTGTAGATTGTTTTGGGTAGTAAAGACATTTTAACAGTGTTGATTCTTCCCAGCCAGAAGCTTGGTATGTTCTTCCATTTGTTAATGTCTCCTGCTATTTCTTTTCTTAGGGCTTCATAATTCTCTTTCTGGAAGTCCTTCATTTCTCATTAAACTCTTTACCATTATGTATTTGATTATTTTCTATATACTACCTTTTAGTTAAATTTGGTCCAAAGAAACAAATTTCAGTTTCTACTAAATTCCGGATCCTGGATTGCAGTGTATGTGCATGTGCAAGTTCTGTGATGTGATTGGTTGGTAAGCATTTGGATTACTGCTTTTCTTTTGCTCTTTGTAAGGTGTTATCATTTTAATCTGCTTTAAATAAACCCATATTTGGAACAGATTGTGTTGTTTTTCCTTACTCCTTTTTTCTCTTTCTTTAGATTGATATTGAGGGCATTTCCAATAACACATACGGTACACGATTGTATACTTTGTGCACGGACATCCTTGATTTTGTATGTAACTATTTGCTATATATTATCATGGTGGAACTTGACTTTTTACTTCATTGCTGCCACCTTCCACTATAAAAATCACATTTCTCAATTTTTTTTCTTTTATAATATAGGTTACTGTAAAGATAAAAGTAGGCATCAGATTTCATGTCTTCTGTCATTCCAGAGAAAGCATATGCAATACCCTCCCAAACTAGACTTCCCTAGTCTGCTCCAAGAGTTTGCTTACTGCCCCAGAATCAGTGCTGAATTACCCAGAGAGCTCAGTGAGCACCAGCAAATTAGAGTCACCTTCCTTTCCAAAGAAAAAAGAAAATTGAAAAATAACACTGAGATTGTTGATGTTTCTCCAAAAATAGTGTTGAAGTAGTCATTAGGAGAAAAATCAGACAATTATTGGACTTCCTTACACTTATCATAATATTTTAGTACTGTTTTTGGCTTTATTTCCATATGAGAGGTACTCTTTCCTTTTTTATTGATTATTTTTCATTGATCAAGTCTAAATCACAGAGCCTGAGGTGAAGCTTAAGATACTAACCACTTTGGAGGTACAAGTCTAAGGACAAATAAAAAAGGGAAGTGAGGCAGAGTAAGATGCAGTGCAGTGCTACTGCTTACTGAGGAGCCTGATGCTGCTCTCCTGGGGATCACATTATGAAAACCACTGGCCTAAAATATAAGAGTTTAAACTCCACAGCATGTACATCAGATATTTTTCATTCTACTTTGTTTACCTTATGCCCCTTACTTGCCAACAATTCCCTATGGTCCAGTCACACCCGACTACCAGCTTTTCTTTCTTTCTTTTTTCTTTTTTTTTGACAAGGCAGTCTTAACTTTTTTTTTTTTTTTTTTT